ATGGACAAAATCTCTTCCCATCGGGCCTTGCATTGAGCAGGGGTGCACTGGAGCTGCTTGGCAATAAAGTTCCAACTGGGTCGGAGCTTGGTGTTGGTCTTCATATCGATGAGTTGTTCCTCTTGCCAGGGTTCCCATGAGTCCCAGTCTTCAAGGAGTTCTTGGTGGAGGGGCTGGTGCTGATGAGCAATCACTGTCACTGTCATCCAGGGATGATGGGATGCGAGGGACATGGGGGTGAGTAGGAGTAACTGGGTCATCTTCACTGGTGGAGGTACCAAGGTGGGGAGCCGCAATTGGTCGCAGGTTCCCACTGAAATGGATGGGGGGTCGAGTGGGGGGAAGGGCAGGGCAGGTGGGTGGGGTGGTGTGGTCAATGGATGGAGAAGTGGAGGGTGACTCGTAGAGGGACCAAACGGTGGCTGCGCACGAAGAAGATCATGGATCTCGTCCAGTGAGGAGGCTGCTAGGCGCAAGGTTGAGGCCATATGGGAAACACAGTGGGCAATACAGTCACATTGTGGAGGACCGGGCAATGTGGAGCGGGTGACCACGCAAAGAGCGAAGAGGTACACAAGGGGGGATTGAAACCAAAATCGAACACTGAGTTCTGCAAGGGTAGGGGCCAATGTAATGGGGGGAACATTCGGTGTGGTTCATGCAAAAATGGATATACTCATGAGGCCAAATGAAAATCTTTCTTCTGAGGTGTTGGGGGATTGGAAGGTGGAAAGGGAAATCAGCAAAGTGGATCAACAAGCATGCAAATCGGCAGCATGATCTTTTCAGCCGGCGGTATAGGATTACAAAAAAGACTGAGGGGGTGTCGCTTGACCTTCCCAGGCTATGCCACGGATCACACAATTGTCCGGGTGGATGATATAGCACTTGCCCTTGTCGTGTTTGACGACGCCGTGGTTGGCTGCAAGAAACTTTTCTCCTTCTTGTTCGCCACCCTGAAGGAATTTCTTGCCGGTGCCCCATGCCATGCAATGAAGAATGATTCCGGCTTTATTCTTTGGCATTTGACAAGTTTTGTCAATGACTCGAGCTGTGTGCCAAGCGTCGTAGATCAGCTTGCCGGTAGTTTCGTAGCCTTGAGCGTAGAAACCTTGGGCGGTAGGTGAGTGGTTGGTGCTGGGTTTGAAGCGCCCCGATTGTAGCAAGTTCAAAAGGTTGCCTTCCTCAGTGGCGTGACTCGCAAACACATGCACTGTACCATGTTGAGTATCCGTCTGGTTACGGCGATGGGGGATGTGTTCGACTCGTTGTTTGTGCTGGAGACGGGGGATGTAGAGGGAAAAGTATGAAGTGGACTTGTAACCGTTGATGGCATCGTCCCGGTCGGAATGGATCCATTGATCAAGCGCTTCTAAGTCCTTTGCAAAGATGCCTGCAGTGGTGAGGATCCTGGCCACGTAGCGGAGCATAGGAGTGTTGCGTTCCGTGAGTTGATCGCACTGATGATGTAAGTAGTGCAAAATGCGATTGAAAGTATCCCTGCCGTAGATATGACTGGCATGGTCATGGTCTGGTAAAGTGTAGGGGTTGTAAGGCCTGCGATGTGGTTCTGTGGCGGTGGCACTGGTGGCGACGTGGATGCCCTTGGGGGTTGGGGTGGTGGCTGGATCACGGGTTGAACCAGAGGGGCGATCATCCGAATGGTGGGGGTTGGGGGTGAGTCGGATGTTGGAGCGGCGGGGGGTACGAGAGCGGGGTCGTGGAGTAGCCTGAGTACTGGGTGTAGCATGGGTACTGTAGCTTGTCAATGGTGGTGGAGCCCAAATGCCACGCACAGGTGGCGGGCCTGCGGGAGGTTGTGGTTTGTTAGGAGGGCGTGGTTTTGGACCCGCAGCCTGAGATCGTGTGGGTGGAGCGTGAGATCGTGTTGATGTCGTGGTAGAAATAGTGGTGATTGGAGTGGAACGCTGCCGGACGGTCGCCTTGGGTGGTGTTGGTGCTGGTGGTGGTACAGCCGGTGGTGGTGCTGGTACAGCCGGTGGTGGTGCCGCTGCGGTGGCGGGAGGTGGAGGTGGTTGTGGTGGTTGTGGTGGGCGCAGCTGGGGTGGGTGTGGTGTGGGGACTGTGATGTGAAGTGGTGGTGGTCGTGTCGGGGCAGTAGCCGATGGGGAGGGATTCGCCGGTGAGACTGAGGTATTCGTGGCGCTTGTTGGCAATGTGGCTGTGGTGCCGGTGCCCGGTGGGGGAGCCGGTGAGGGCATGGTGGTAGCTGTGGTGTTCGGTGTTGAAGTAGTCGTTGGTGGAGTGGATGTTGGAATGGACGGATGGGCCGTCGCCTGTGTGGGGGTGTGCTGAGAAGGGTCAACGGGAGCTGCCTGTTGCGCAACACCATGAGGGGCCCGAATCAGGTTGGTGGGGCGTCGATGGCATTGGGTAGCCTGCTGGGGGAAAATTGGATGGAGGCTGAAACTGGTGGGTATTGGGTTGAAGCTGAGGTGACATCGTTGTGGGTGAGGTGTATTGAAGTGGTAGATGTTGTGGATGTGATAGTACTTGTTGAAGTGATTGAAGGTGAGGCATTGAAATTTGCATCGTGGGAGCTGCACCATACGGAGCCAACGGGTTCACCAAGGAGGTTGGCTGTGAAGTTCCATAGGGGGAAGGTGTACTCGTTGTTGGAGACGGGTGGGCCATCCATTGGTAGTTCATGGCGTCAACGTGGAGGTCGTGGAACGAGTAGACGGCAAGGTCTCGTGCTATGCAAAAATTGACCGGCCTAATCCGAGCGTACGATCGTGCGTAAATCGTGCCTGATGTAACTGTACAAGTGATTACTTAGCAGTATGAAATGGTTGAACGCATCTTCAGTATTTGATCACAGTAAGCCCTGCGGCGTGAAATCAGGGGTAGCATGCAGTACCGAAATTCAGCGGTAGTCAGGTGAAGTGCCGGAATGCAGGCCAAGAGATCAGGGAAGGATCCCCCACGCAACGTGGGTCTGAACGTGCACTGCGCCCCTTGACGGGGATCACACCACAGCCCGCAGTGGGACCCTGTGGCGAAACACACTTAGAGAGTTGCTCGCAAGAGCTAGGATCAGTATGAAGTCCCACTCTAGATGATTACATTACCCGCTGCATGGTAGACCTTGACTTGCAAGAACCGAACGAATGCTGGGTCAGAATACCAGAATTGTTAAACACAGGTGAAACGATGAGTTAAAAATTGACCTGCAGGTACACGAGAAGGCGTCCCTTCTCGCATCACAATCTCAAACCACCGTCTTCGTTGGGCAGTGGATGGAATGAGATTCACTGCCCCCTGCTGTTCAAATTGAGAAGTCATACGTCGTATTCCTGAAACATAGTGGACGTCATTTACACAGTGATTAGCTAAGAAAACCTTAGGAACAGGTGGTGACACACACACACACATGAAAGGACATGTGTGAGAGCACGCAAAAAACACAAACTTGTTAGAAATTGTGAGAACGCACACACGACAGAAAACACATAAGAACACACAAGTCCGAGCAAACACATGAGAGCACCCGCATCAGGGCAAACATATGAGAGTGCCCATAACGGCTCACACGTGAGAGCGCGCAAGCGCGCGGCACTCCGTGAACCTCGCTCTGCAGATTTCGTGGCAAGTGCAGCACTTTTGACACGCGCGTTTTTGCAGGAGCAACAACAACAACACCTACAAAAAGAACGTGTTCGTGCGATACTTCTCCCAAATTCTGAAAACGAACCACAGGTCCAAAGTTCACGATTCACAGCACCTGCCAATTAAGATTTGCACATCGAAGTACAACGGCTCCGATCTGCTCACGAGACGTCGGCCTTCAAACGACCAATGCACAAGGACTCCCCTGCGCCTGCCACGAAAAGTGACCACCAAGCCCGAACATGCGCACGGCACCACAACACCCTTTAGGTGGCGGGTTATAAGTTTATGCAAGAGTGCGCAGGCGAAATGCACTTCAATCATCCTCAAGAGGATTCGAGAGGCAGGAAGGTATTGTAACTGGAAGAGGGGTAGCCGCCATGCTGGTGAGCATTAGTGAGCACACTCGATTAAACCCACTGATATGGTAAGAAAAGCAAGTGTAACCACACTGTTTGGGAACCGCATGGGCAACCGGTGGGACTTGAAAGTCGGGGCTATCGTCCCCCTAATCCTTTTGTTTGAGGTACCAAAAAGCTTGATTTGCAAGATTGTTCGGGTATAGCTTGCTTTGGGGCGCTTTCAATTAGAAGCGAATCAGCTCTAAACATCTTAGCAGGTAACATGTATGTGTTTTTTACCCTACCCCATATCATTGTCCAAGGCAAAAAGAGTGGATGAAGCCTCTGAGATAAACTTGAGGCCGAGGGTAGGTGACGAAAGCTAGCAGGTGTGCATCCGGACTGGTGGGACATCAAGCGGATTGAGGCAAATGCTCATGAGGTAAAACGTTGTGAACATGTAAGACACACAAACAGCAATGACACAGCCAACCTTAGACTTGAAGTCCCCGATCATTAAGGAAGCGTGGCTGGACTTTGCCACACTATTCGATGCATCCGATGTGTTTACGAACCTGTGAGCTTGTTGAATCTGTTGCACCGTATCCCAAAAGCTCCACGGAGGAGTTGAACCAAAGTGGATGCCATAAGAGGTGCCCAAGAGGTGTCCCAGAGGCAAAACGAAGCTGCTTGCATGATTTACTTGATTTCTTCTATCAATGTCGATGTCATGAACCTGTGAGCTTGTTGAATCTGTTGCACCGTATCCCGGAGGAGTTAAACCAAAGTGGATGCCATAAGACCCAGAGGCGTCCCAGGGGGGAGTTGAACCCGCCGGGGAGGGGCCCCCTACATATGAAGTTTTCACGTGATGCGGCGATCTCGAGGATTCCAGCCCCTCACTTGCTAAAGCAAGGACAACTCCAGCTAGCTGGTGCTAGCTTTCGTGAACTGTGTGTTGATAAATTCGCATTTACCTCATATGCGTTCTTTTGTCCGAGCATGAACGTCTGAAAGCACAGCATGTGCCTGGTCATGGCCGGACGCCATAAGCAGTCAGGGATGGCCAAGTGGAAGAATCACAAGCAGTGCGAGTAGTTGTCGTGTTGCACTGCACCAGCCATGATATCATTCTACATGAAACATGACCACTTGCCACAGCTGCTTCGCAAGGGAAACTCAAACGCGCTAAAAAAGAGGAGGTGAGGCAAGTTATATATAATATATATATATATATACAGCGCAGCCAAATGATTGGTTTGCCTCTTGATAGGATGCCGGAAGGGGTCTGTCTGCACTGCTTGAATGACGACAAAATACGACAAACTACAGTCCAGAACTTTCAGGCTAGCCTGGCTATCCAATTTGCAACGCCCATGCAGTCAAAAGTGGATTCATGTGACTGTGCTAAAATTGTCTAAAATTCTGACTAGAATCAAATTGACAATACTGAGATATACTATACTGAGACATGCTTCCAAGTTGCAAGTAAGTATGGTTCTGGATCGCCCCGCATCACCCCACCCCGCACCCCATCTGCATGAACATTTCTCAATGCAGTCTGACAATCGTGGGAGGCAGGTCGTCTCACTTGAGGCTATATCCATCCCTTGGCCAATCGGTTTCCAGATTGGTAAATGCTCGTGAACCGGAACAACGGCCGTGCATCAAATTGTAACTGGTGGTGCTCCCTTTTGGCAGCGGCCGAGCTTCCCCGCGGTTGACGACTGAACCAGTTCCCGAATGAGAACTTGGCGGTCCCGGCCTTGTGTGTCAAATGGGGTGAGATAAATCATACAGTCCAAAATTTCGAAGGCGTGACATGCATTGTCAGAAAGCTGCCTCCCATGCCTGCACTACTGCTTTAGGACCCCGTGCAAGATCAAAGTGATTCAATCTTGGGCGACAATGTGCTTTTCTGCTCATGCTGACAACAAGCGAGCCTTCTATCATTCCTTATCAGCGGGTTGAGTTTTGGATGATACTGCATGGAGGTATTATCTTGCCGTCTTGCATAGCTTGACATGAGGTTTGCAGGACTTGGGTTGTTCTTCTTCTACTTGTTTTCCTTTTTCTCGCTTCTTTCCTTTCCCTTGCGCATCCAACACGCTCATACGTGTTTCTTTTCAATCTTCGTGAATTGTCGTGTCCATCGACAGCACAGGTTTTTGCGTGTGCGGGTGGAGGCGACAGACTGACCAAACTGCTCGGCAATAAATCACGGAATCACACCATGCCAAAACATGTCTTTGACAAACATGTCTCCTGAATTGAGATTGGAGCATCCACAGCTGAAATGGCAATTGACAAATGGTTTGGATGCAAGGCATGGACCATGCCCATGCCATTTTGCCGGCGGTCAAAGTGACGGTCAAAGGTCTAAAACATGTGAGACAGGATGTACATCACCAGCAGGACTGCCATTGACTCAGGCATGGCGATTCCCCCGTGCACTCCTCGCCCAGCGTTCACCGACGCCTGGTCTGCAACACAAACCTGTCCATTCCAGCACAATCCTGGGCAACTTTGATGACCACTGGAAGCTCCAAAAACAAAGCAGAGTCTTTGGATCAGACTTGTCATGGCAGTAGTTTCGATGTACACATCATAATCATAGGTTTCAAAAATTTACATAGAAGTTACCGACCTGGACGGGACAAAAACATCTATATACTGTAACCATCTATGCAACAGTATTCTGCTAACACTTAGAGTTTGATCTAGCTGATACTTTTGAATTGTTTTTTGCATAGATAACCTGAGAAGCTGCAAAACGAAAGCCAGCGCTCCCCTTTCTCGACAACTGCGCGTCGAAGCAAGCAAATGAGCTCGCGCAGCTGCTTGCGGCCGCGTGTCAAATCTGCTTCATGTCTTGTTCTGCCCACACAGAGGTAACCATGTCAAAACAAAAACCTGCGCTTCCTGGCAATTGAGGGGTTCGGTGTCATTTTGCCCGGATTTTTCCTCTGCACAGGGGGGGGTTTGGATGGAATCCGATGTTTTAGGCCGTAGCCCAATCTATCCACATTGACATCATTTGGTGTCTACCAGGACCTTCAAAGTGACCGTCCGAGATCCCAGAATGAGGTCACTTAGTCACTTAGTCCCGAATGAGGTCACTTGGAGACTCCAAAGAGGTCATTCTGAAGGTCCTGGTGTTTCATTCCACTTCCAGTAAGACTAAGATCCTTTGTTTCTGGTGGCTATGCGCAAGCAACTCATGCTCTTCAAGGAGTGCTGTAAGTGAAGTATCGGAGTGCTCTTCTGAAGCTAGCCTGGGTCCGTATAAATACTATGTTGCTATACCTCTTACACACCTACACAAGTTCAAAGCACGAATGAGACTTCAAAGCTGTGGATTGCTGTGCGTGTGTAGAGGCTATCGAGCGGTTGACGGAAAGGGAACTTGAAGTACTATACCTGGTAGCTGCACTATAGCTACCCTGGGTCTCTATACCTAGCAAGGTGCCAACTACACCTTTATTTTCAAGATGGCCTGAACAGAGTGTTTTAGGGCAGCAAACCGTGGTCTCAGGCCACCTTGAATTTAG